CTGTACGATAAAATGACTTTATCACTAACGCGCTTGAGGACTAACACTGCTAAAATATTCATTTATGGAATTGTAACTAATATAGATTAAGAAAACCGTTCTCCTTATTTAAGCATGAATAAAAGCACATCCTCAGGGGAGTGCTTTCACAGGCGATATATACTACCTGCGAGATCGCAAGTAAAAAATAATACACAGATAACAATTGCGGCGACACTTCGGTCTCGTGAAGCCCGCGACAGTTCAATAAAAAGCGTCACTTCTTCGAAATTTTAACGGTCACCATAGAAGACCGTTAACACTTTGGCAATTGAGGTAAGAGTCGTTAAAGTTAAAAGTTAAAGCGTAACCCGTCTATTGAATTGAGCTTCCAAAGTTACTGGATTGATTATTGACACTTGTTCAAGCATATCTTCGTTAAGAGAAATAACTTCAACGTGAGTTTAAATACTGGAAACTTACATTGACGATTGGCGGCAGAGCCAAAGCGTTCAAAAAGAGGTGACAAACGCATGCACCCAAAAATAGAAAGTTTAAATTGCCAAGGGTTTTGCACTACAAATAAACACCAAAGTTACTAGAGAAGGAAACTATGGGACTCAGCAACGCTAATAATTTGTAATTTAATAATTTGTAATGTAATAATTTGTACGAGAGCTGCGGCTCGGTCTTACATAGACGAGCCACTGAACTGCTTTTTGATTGTCGCTCCTCAAGGAGTCAGTTTGGGAATTTTTCGCGACACATTAACACCCAAATTTTAGATTTGTGAAATTTCCAGCTAAACACTTTCATATGGTGTAAATATTTCATTTTTATCAACAAAATTTTTGGCACCGACAATCCTTTTTCGTCCCGAATAAATTCGCCAATGCTTCAATTTCTTAACATTTTGAATTACATTGAGGAATATCGACTTATTCGAAAACATGCGTGAAGAGAAATGCCATGGCTTTGTACATCATTAATTGCCAGCCTTTCATTTACTATAATAGATGACTCAGATGGCTCGCTGTTTATTGTGCCTTGCCAACGAACATTCAGAGATTGAACTCCTATTAAATTCTTCATTTTATTCCCGATCATTAGACAAAAAAAAAAGGATTGTTTACGTTTAGTAATTCATACTTCTGTGTGAGCATTAACGATGCAAAACGGGTTTTAAAATGTGTTTTTGAATAATATAGCAACAAATGTTCATGCTTCCCATGTTCAAATAGTATTGAAATAACGTACTATGTATTATTGAAATATTATCAAAAATATAATATTTTATTATGCCATCGAAAAATTTTAGATTTTTAATATCTTGTCAATATTTTTTCAAGATTTTTTTTTTACTCAAATACCTTTTAATTCAATAAGAGGTTTATCTTGAACTCGCTCCGCGCGTGTAAGCGAACAATAACTGAACTTTTTTATGTACTTTATTTCTTTATTATTTTATTTCTTTATTTATTTATTCTTTACTTTACTATATTATGATAGTGAATAGCTCTCACGTCCTGTGATAATATACCTAAATTCTATAAGACGACGAGTATTATAAATGTTCCATAAAGGGGTAAATAAAGCACGGTTTAGTAATTAAGTCTGTTATTGTGAAATCAAATCTGACAAAAATAAAAATCATATGTATTTACAAAATAATATTTCAAGATGAGCTGCAGGGAAAAAATATAAATAATAAAGTTGAATGTCATTAAAAAAGTTTGAATGCCTATAAACTTTGAAAAACTTTAAATTGTTGGAAAACCTTCAGGATTCGTTCCAAAATAAACAAAACTGTTAATTACTCACAAAGAAAAATTTATGACTACACCAGGGCAAAAAAAATGAACAAAAACTGGCATTCAAAACCGTAAAACTGTAAAAGTAACTGAAAAAATTAGAAAATTAAAAGAATTTAAATTATTTCAAATCTCTACTCTAACATTATCCTGGCTTTTGAACTCGACAAACAAAAATAAAGTTAAATCATAATATTAGAAGGCACAATGGTGGAAATTTCGCCAAAATTAAAGCCTCAAGCAGCACTTAAAAGCTAAGCGCGAGGTACCGATCTTGCGATCAGGAACCTCTGGTTATTTGAGATAGGAAAACCATAGGAGCGGAAGACCCCACACACTAATAAGCTATATAAAGAGTATATGACATCCTACTGGCATGTGCTTTAAGCTACTGCAAAAATACTAAAACATGTTTGGAAGCTCAATGGCTAAGAAAAAAGTTATTTGTTGTTTTGGGTATTCATTCAGGCCAACCGCGTTCGATTGCAAATTTCAAATTCAATGTACGTAAAATATCGGAAATATCATGTAGCCTAATTCTGAATTCCGAGTAATTTTATTTAAACCGTAACCAATTTATTGTATGACAATATTTAGTTTTATTACTTACTGTTTCTACTGGTAACTTCTCGCAATATAACAATATCTAAAATCAGTTTTGCCTTACGTTAAAGTTTAATTTAAATCTGAAACTACACCTGGTCTGCTAGGTGCGCACTGTCATTTGTTGTATATAATGTAAAGAAACCTGTGCTTCTACTCAAATTGTTGGAACATTTTGTAAATTACAGAATTTCATCGAGAAAATAATTTAGGTATAACAAAATTCATACACCATTGTTGCATCCAAGTGTCCTTTTTGTTAGTTACACAAATTCCATTCTAAAATCCAAATAAAATACATAATATTACGACTTACGAACACTTGAACGCGTTCAGCCCCAGACTCCGTTTTTCTTTCACAGTTTGGCTAACTCTACACAGCCGACTAGGGAACGGTGCCTGCTCTCTACCTAAGCCTTCACAGCGCCATCTGTCCGTGTCATCGCTACCATGATATCTATAGCAAAAATTCAATGGTTTTGAATTAAGGGATAACCAAGTTTTTTATACGAGCAATTATTGCGTATCCTGGGATGAAAGCGTTAGAAATCCAATCCCTCACTTTAGAATAATACAACAAAATTTTAAGTTCGAATAAAATTTAAAGTGTTTCGACGTTTTCCCTGATTTTGCTGAACGCCAAGTCAAAGTTTTATCCACTCGATATTATTAGCATATTCTGAGTATAGAAAATATAAGTCACTATTTGGCAGGCACGATATAAGGACTGATTTTGCCGCTGGCAGTTTCTTGCCGTAACCCTAACAAATGTACAGAGTGTCCTTACAGGAGATCAACAGCCACAAAAATTCTACACAATGTAAACAAGCAGGCTATAGCAAAACATTGAACAGTTCCATTGATTTGCTACGAGATTTGTTAGTACTGGAATCCCGGAAAATGTCCTTTACATTTTTTAGTCAAAATCCTTATATGGAAAAGAGGAATATATCCTTTCCAAAAGAATATGTCCTTTTATTTTACAAGCCAAAGTATTGCAATACATGCAAAAAATGACGTCAATTCCTTGCATATCTGTTCAAATCATAGACAATTCTTTACTGAAATAAATTTCAACCTGATGTCGTTTGGATGGTTGAGGTGCCTGATGCTCCATTGTGAAGAATTTGTACGAATTTTTCTCCTGCATGGACAGCAGCGGTCCGCCACGACGCGTTACGAAGATTCTTCTTTCTTCTCTTCCGCCTCTGTTGATTTCTCCTCGGCCTTCTCCTCGCTCTTCTCCTCCTCAGCTGCCGCTGCTGAAGCCTCTTCGCTCTTCTCTTCAGCTGCCTCTTCCTTGGCCTCTTCCTTCTCTTCAGCAGGTGCTGCTTCTTCGGGTTTGGCTTCAGCCTCTGAAATAATGGAAGTTTTGTAAATAATGGAATATCAGTTATGTAATTACATATATTTTTAATTAAAATTAATATTACACACATCTACTAAGTGGTGCCATTTTTGAACATGAAAAAAGTATAGAATTTGCTTAAAATTTTAAAATAATGCTGTTATTTTCATTCGAAGGATATTCCCCTGAAAATTTGTTCATTCCTTCATTAAATAGATTCATGCAAATAAGCGAAAAGCGAAACAGTAATGATCTGACTGGACAGTCTCTCCATCATCAAAATAAATATTAATACAGCCAAAACTCACCCTTCTCCTCAGCCTTTTCTTCGCTCTTCTCCTCGGCTACCTCTTCTTTGATCTCATCCTTTTTCTCTTCAGCCTGCTCGTTCTCAGGAGCAGCTTCGTTCTCCTTGTTCTCGTCGGACGCGGCCTTCTCCTCCACGACCTCAGCGATCACCTCTTCCTTGGTCGGCTCCAGGGTCACGGGGGCAGGGGCGACATCGGCTGATGGCACAATAAAGGTTATGTGAATAAGTTTATTATTAATTGATTTATTGTTGATTTATTGTTGATTAAGTAAATACGTTTATTATTAATTGATTTATTGTTGAATTGATTCGTGATTAGCAGGGGCGACATCGGTTGATGGCACAATAAAGGCTAAGTAAATACGTTTATTATTAATTAATTTATTGTTGATGAAGTAAATAAGTTTATTAATAATTGATTTATTGTTGAATTGATTCGCGATTAGCAGGGGCGACATCAGCTGATGGCATTAAGTAAATAAGTTTATTATTAATTGATTTATTGTTGATTAAGTAAATACGTTTATTATTAATTGACTTATTGTTGAATTGATTCGTGATTAGCAGGGGCGACATCGGCTAATGGCACAATAAAGTTTAAGTAAATAAGTTTATTATTAATTGATTTATTGTTGATTAAGTAAATACGTTTATTATTGATTTATTGTTGAATTGATTCGTGATTAGCAGGGGCGACATCGGCTGATGGCATTAAGTAGATAAGTTCATTATTAATTGATTTATTGTTGATTAAGTAAATACGTTTATTATTAATTGATTTATTGTTGAATTGATTCGTGATTAGCAGGGGCGACATCGGCTGATGGCACAATAAAGCTTAAGTAAATAAGTTTATTATTAATGGATTAACTGTTGATTTATTCGTGATTAGGTAATAAATTAATAGCAGTATTGAAAACATCTCCCTGAGAAATGGTTGTGAGAAGATTCCCAAACTCTAAAGATATCCTCATGATTTGCAATAAATGTGATGAGAAATCGTTCCTCTTAGGATTTGTAATCCATCAGGAAAATCTTTAAGGCTCTAATAATTTGAAAAATTTTACGTATATATGAACACTTTTTTGACAACTTTGATATCGTGTATTTTTTTTAATTGGATGTAGAGCTCAATCTGAACCTAATTCCTAAATATATTAAAAATAATTGCGTTCGAAATTTACAGTTATTAGCGACGCCTGTCGCTTGTCTTTGCCGCGCGGCCCGAGATAAAGTAAATACGTTTATTATTAATTGATTTATTGTTGATGAAGTAAATACGTTTATTATTAATTGATTTATTGTTGATTAAGTAAATACGTTTATTGTTAATTGATTTATTGTTGAATTGATTCGTGATTAAGAAGGGCGACATTGGCAGATGGCATTTAGTAAAAAAGTTTATTATTATTTGATTTATTGTTGAATTGATTCTTGATTAGGTAATAAATTAATACCTGTATTGAAAACATCTGCCTGAGAAATGGTTATGAGGAGATTCGAAAGCTGTAAAAATCTTGGATTTGCAATACATGTTACATGTCATGAGAAATCGTTCCTCTAAGGATTTGTGATCCATCAGGAAAATCTTTAAGGCTCTAATAATTTGAAAAATTTTACGTATATATGAACACTTTTTTGACAACTTTGATATCGTGTCCGCAATTTTCCCGATAATACTGATTTCCTCGATTCTCTCGAATATTGAAAGGGATTAATTAATGGATTGGTTATTTAAATGCGGTGAAAAAATCCCGTAGATATTTCTTACATGTCCACCCCATCGTTCTCTCTGGATATCTGTATTGCATCAGCAATGAATAATTATTCTAGTCTGAATAAATAATCTACGTTTCTCGAAGTTATGTATCCATGTTTCAGAACATTGATGCAGAATGAGCAGCTTGAAATTAACATGGAGTGATTAGAGGTACAAATGAGAATTAATGAATATTATTAGCTTATTTAGTAGGATATACAAAAATCACTATATTTTTTCTGAACGCTGGCGAAATAATATAGAAACGTCGTTGACAATAATTTGCAATGATCTGAAGGTCCCTATTAGTCATGAAATGATTTTATGATGAAAATATAACTTTGTTTGTTAAATAATTACTCACAGCTAACCACGGATCGTAAATCGTCAGAAATTACACGTCTGAAACTTTATGTTAATTGTTCGGAGAATAATTTATACTGTAAACCAATATTGTATTTTGATACATTTTTCAATTCGCAGTTTCTGGAAAGCCCACATGTACCTTAATGTCAGCGAAGAAATTAAATTATAAATAATAATAATAATATAATTTTTTTATCAATTGGATGTAAAGCTCAATGTTATTCATCTGAATGAAATTCATAAATATATTAAATGATTTAAAATATGTACAACCCAAGTTACGGACGATACTGCGAAATTCAACGTTCTCCAAGTGGCGCTGGAAAGCATTTAGAATGGTACAATACAGAAAAAAGATGAATTTCTCATATTTTAATAAATGTTCACAGATTAGATAATTTAATATAATTTCGTTCGAAATTTACAGTTATTAGCGACGCCTGTCGCTTGTCTTTGCCGCGCGGCCCGAGATGCTTCCTCGAAAGCATCAAAATTACCGCGGATTAATGTGATAGCGCTCGTCAAAAATGCATTGCGCCCCACAAAAAAATGCATTTAATGGTTTTGATGTTTGATTAACTCGTTACGTCCATGATCGAAATTAGTTATATTGCTGATGATTACCATTTTCAGGTAATGCGCAAAAAATTAATGGTCTCGTAAATTTTGGAAATTAGTTCTAAAACTTACTATCGTTTGTAATATTTATAACGGTCGCGGAGTTTCATGGCATTAAAAAGGAATGGTTTTATTATACCACGGCTGTAATACGCTGTGTTTCTCTTGTAAATATTATGCGGGGAAATACGTGTAGATTTAATATATTACTCATGGAATATTTCAGTTAAAATTCGATTAATAATGAAATCAGTTTTCATACCGCAATAAACGAAAAATATCAGCGCAATTAAGCGAATATTTGTTACAAATTTTCAAACTAAAAATGCTGCAATTAAATTTTTAAAATGAAAAATTCAAAGCCAAAGGAGAAAAATTTTTGTCTGATTACCAAATCCTGCAACTAATTCGAAACAATTTTATATCACGATGAGAAAGCGTCACGAAAACGTTTTTGAAAAAGCTGCAATAATAAGACATCTATCTTCTCAATAGCAAAATTCCAAAAATATTCCCGCTAACTTATCGATTAAACGAAACCATTTGAAATTCTCTCAATTGATTTCTCGAAGTTCAAGACTCACCGGCACTCATGATGATGGTTTGAGTTGTTGAGCTTCACAGAGAATAAAGACACAGAGATGCTTACAGCACACGACACGGCGGCAAACTGAGGAGCCCGCACGCCTCTCCCTCTCTTATATAGGCGCGCGCAGGCCGGGCAATTGGCTGGCGCGCCGACGCCACCGCGCCTCTGACGCGCCCTTCGCTTCTTGTCGTCGCTGCCACGTTGCTGACGCGTCACTCCCGTCTCAACGATCTCTTTAGCGCTCGTTTTTCTCTTTATTTTTAAATAATGCGCACGTCTGAGTTTTAATTCTGTTTGAAATAATATAGCAATTTAGCGCTCATTTTTTTCTTTATAGTGAGTAATGGACACGTCTGAGTTTTGATTCTGTTTGAAATAGCATAGCAAATATAGTAGTAAACTGCTGTATACTACTATACTGCTGCCGTATAGTAGTATACAGCTGCTGTATAATAGTATACAGTAGTAGCAGTAGTATACTGCTGTAACTGTTTGGTATATAAATAGTATACAAATATTTAGGAGATCAAGTTTTAGCATTGTCTTGTCTACATATTGCAAGGAAATCACTAACATTTCTGCAGTACCTTGTACAGTGGAACAAACAAGTTCAGTATACATCTTCCCTACAGTGCGTTATTTTGCGTGCTCGGGCGTGAAGCTGCTAGCTGGCTACGGTAAATTTTAGTGCACATTTCGTCAGGTTGATACCAATAAAATTACTATTGCCTTCGTTCTTTACATTATCTCTAAACTTTAACAATTTATTATTTAATTTATCATGATAAGGTTACATGAATATACCTGTATGATTAATGAGGGAAGATAATTTTGGTCTTCAGCCCGAAAGTTTGATAGTTCCAACGGCCGCATGCCTCTGACAGCGTAGAATCCGAGCGCATGTTTCCGGGGCGTAGGATAGCGCAGGATTCTAGGAAGGATGCCCAGCTATGGGGCTACTAGAGAATTTCCGACTGAGTCTTGGAACTCTAGATGACGTGCAGCTGAATCTAGAACAGTCGCCTGCATTCCATAAGTTTATTGCGATGCAATAAAGCAATTGCGAAGCAATAAACTTATGGAACTTATGATTGAAGCATCCGGGAAACTTAAGAAACTTATGAAAACTTATGATTGAAGCTTACTTAACTTAAGACACTTAACTTACTTAACTTAAGAAACTTATGAAAACTTATGATTGAAGCCTACTTAACTTAAGACAATTAACTTACTTAACTTAAAAAACTTATGAAAACTTATGATTGAAGCCTACTTAACTTAGACACTTAACTTACTTAACTTAAGAAACTTATGGAACTTATGATTGAAGCATCCGGGACCATAGAAGGTGTGAACAGGCGGTAGAAATGTTCTCGGCCTGCGCACAAGCGAGCGGTTGAGGCGTGTAGCTATGGTGCTCACTGTGATGCATGGAGTGTCAAGGCGTAGATGGTGCTCACTGTGATGCATGGAGTGTCAAGGCGTAGATGGTGCTCACTGTGATGCATGGAGTGTCAAGGCGTAGATGGTGCTCACTGTGATGCATGGAGTGTCAAGGCGTAGATGGTGCTCACTGTGATGCATGGAGTGTCAAGGCGTAGATGGTGCTNTGGTGAGAGTGAGGCGAGTCAGCACGCTGACGTGGCAAAGAATGTGGACCAAATTGTGGGCGTGTGGATGACACGAACGATTGTGGCGTTAATGATAGTGACAGATAGTTACAGATAGTGATTGTGGTGATACTGATAGTGACGTTGATCGTGGCATGTGTATCGTTGACGTTACTGGTAGCGATGTTGGTCGTGGCATGTATATCGTTGACGTTACTGGTAGCGACGTTGGTCGTGGCATGTGTATCGTTGGCGTTACTGGTAGCGACGTTGGTCGTGGCATGTGTATCGTCGACGTTACTGGTAGCGACGTTGGTCGTGGCATGTGTATCGTTGGCGTTACTGGTAGCGACGTTGGTCGTGGCATGTGTATCGTTGATGTTACTGGTAGCGACGTTGGTCGTGGCATGTGTATCGTTGACGTTANTGAAATGAATGTTACATCAGACCCGCCTCAGGACAGTAATCCTCTTACATTTGGCAATTCTTCTTCCTTCTCCTTTGGGAGAAGAGGAAGCTTAGCCGAGGCACCTCTGACCATCCATCGCCGCTGGTCCTAAAATAAACACGCGGATTCTGCGTGAGAAGAAAAGAACGAGGCCTAAGGCTGCGTTCACACCTGTCTCTTATACACATCTAGATGTGTATAAGAGACAGCTTCAGACGTATGCGTTAGGAGGATAATAGCTTTGCTTTATGAAAGAGTGATACGGACTTAGCCTTCAGAATCATATCCTATTTATCAGAATTTATCACATTCATTAAGATGCTGTAATCACATTCTATTCATATATAGTCCGTAGCAATGAAAACTTAGAAGCAAAAATTTTTTAAAACAACGTTTAAATGAATTTAATTATACTTTTAACATAATAATCAACCTGTTTTCTAGGTCTAAACGTTTAACAAATGGTGATTCAACGCCACATGCCATGTGGTTAAGGAATAAAACATGTGCCGATCATCAAGACCAGTATAATTAATGCACTCTGACTTAGGTTATACAGCAGCAAGCTGTTACATTCTTTTAGGCCTTCCTTCCATCCTGTTTATGCGTAGATTTTGTAGTTGCGATACATGAGATCCCAAATGCTGCCTGGATGTTTGTTTGCTTTAGGATGAGGGATCTTCCATGTACACACACTGCTAGGTTAGCTAGCGTTCACAATGTGCCTTCGTTGCCCATGTTTACTTTTTCATCACATTCGCATAGTAAATATTGATGCTTATTTCATATGACATTCTTCCAAAATTTCTTCTTGTTCAAACCGAAAAAAATTGAACACTGTTTTGTTTCATGCGGGAGCGCGCTGAATGTTCGGGAGCGTACCACTAATAAGTGATAAATAGTGATAAATCACATTTATCACGAATAAGTGATAAGTGTAGACAGGGAAATTACAGCGTTACTTCTAGCCGCGTAGTTAGTTAAATGACAGCGTATAAATAATTGATAGTGACTCGATAATGACAGCTGAACTGTAGACTTCTGTACACCAAATGCTTAACTGAGACTCAATGAATATGAATGTTATAATTTTAAGGTGTACCAAGAAATTAATTTCATATTCTCGTGAGACTCAATGAAAATGAGGGTGATAATTATAAGGTATCCCAAGAAATTTATTCAAGTTTCTCACAGTGCCAAGGCCCTGAAATGAATGTTACATCAGCTGAAATGAATGTTACATCAGACCCGCCTCAGGACAGTAATCCTCTTACATTTGGCAATTCTTCTTCCTTCTCCTTTGGGAGAAGAGGAAGCTTAGCCGAGGCACCTCTGACCATCCATCGCCGCTGGTCCTAAAATAAACACGCGGATTCTGCGTGAGAAGAAAAGAACGAGGCCTAAGGCTGCGTTCACACTGATGCCCTCAAATAAACGTCTCGCATCTACTCTTAATACTTATCATTAATAACAGGTAATGCGCACTTCAGTGTCTAGGAATGGCTTCCTAGCAGATTTATTCATTACCTTAGTTTGATGGGATCTTTAAAATAACTTAGCAAGCGGTTAATGCCTTCCCTTCGAAGGTGTAACACCGCAGCCATTGCTTGCGCGACTCAAAGCTTCGTTCCCATACCGTACAAAAGGCCACCAAATCTCTTGCCCGTATTTCTCTATATCCACGTAAAGGCAAGCAAGACCCAACGGTTTATAGTGGGCAAGAGACTTTAAACACTGCGAGTGTACGTTCTCATGGCACGAAATGGACGACTGAAGAGCAAATTGTCATTAAATGTATTGCTTTATTCCCTTAATTATCTTGTAGTAGAATAGTACTGAACTTGTCTCTAGGTGAGTGATATAGTTTCTAGTTTTGCTAGCACAGATCCAAAAATCTATATACACATGGGGTTTCGGAACCAATATGCCGCAAATAGTCGGCAATCGGTTTGAATAAATTTTGCGTATCATGTTTTGAGAATAATATGAACAGGCGAACATTTTGACAAGTGAATTTTTTATATTTATTTCTCTTATGCGTGTAAAAATCTTTCGAAAATTACGTACATGCGTTCTACACCAGCTTATTGGGGTTATACGGTGTAGAGATACAGGATGATGAAATAGCACAGAGCTGGAAAATACGTACAAAAACTATCCATGATTCACGAAGATTAACCAAATATTATTCTGAAAAAAGGCGTAAGCATGTATGAATGTTTGAGTTACAAGAATTTACTGATTTCCAGTATATGAATAATTTCCTTCTACTTGTGCATATTTCCGATGAACTGAACACGTCATCGTTTCCTGTTGAGTTAATGTGCAAATTACTGGTGACTTGCGCAACAAAAACTCATGAAAAGTAATAATTTATTTAGCAGCTATCCAACGTGCTGAAAAAATATAAATTCAAGTTGCTCTACATTCAATTCTTATAGAATATTTGAGCTGAAAAAATGTAAATTCAAGTCGCTTTGCCTTCAATTCTTATAGAATATTTGAGTTTTGGCCACGAATCGGAGTTTCATGGAATTTTTTCAACAAATGTTTGAATTTTCTCAACATCTTTAAAACAGCGTACAGGGTCAGAATTTTAAGAATGTGTTGGCGTATTTAAGAGTCAGTTTCTCAGTCTTTATGAAACACAGTGCAACGCAGTGACCGACATTTACTGAAATGCGTGTTTGACACTCATTGTAACGACGTGTTGCCTCTGACAGTGCCTGGTTCCGTTAGATGACAGACGTGCGCTACCGCAGCTCTCGGAGCTCACTAGAATTCTATTTTTTATTTTTTTATCTATCACTTTTATTCAATACTTTATTTGTATAGAACATTTTTTATAGTGAAAATGCATGAATAATCCTTTTATTCTATACTTTATTCGTATTGCCCAATATTTTACACTAAAAATACACGAATACGTTAATTTATTTTAGGAGACACACAAATGAAAATCGAATAAATCGGATTTTACATTTTTATTGCTCATGATATCTTGAACATTGAGTTCCACTCGAA